CTCTTTCCATCTCCCTCTCTGTCTCTCTATGAGCACACAGATTCAAACTGACAACCGTGGGGTGTGTTAACCATGGGGATAAATATCAGCAAAAGAAAATCTACGTCAGCCAAGTTTATAACCAAACCATAAAGATATCAACTATATTAAGTACTGGTGGGGTTAGAGCAATCCTGGAACCCCTGTACCTTTAGCCCTGCTAATAAAACAAACAGAAACCTACACCAAAATAAACAGCTGCTGACATGAGCTTCATTCTTCCTGAAATCAAGAGGCTGGTTACTGTTCTACCTCTTTCTCAGCAGTGTGGTTAGAGACAAAGCAGTGAAATCCACCCTCTCACTGCATCCATTTACTGTCCTCCTTACTGAAGTGCCTCGGAGCAACACTCTGCACAGGGCCGTACTCTGCAAATACCTCTTGCTTAATGATTACTGTAGCTACCGGAGGCTGACAGCAAGTAGACACTAAACAGCGATCAGGACATTAACGGAAGAAAATTTCCACCTCCACAAGATAAGTTTACACGACTCTTATCTGTGTTTATCACGGTGCCTCTGTATGTGTGTTCAATTATCCTTAGCTGTTTATCTAAGGAAGATAAACACACATATAAAGGTAGCTTTAAAACTGATAAACGTGGTTTTTATCAAGTTAGATTTACCAAGATTATGGCACCATTGAATGCACTAGGCACTAAAAAACAACCAAAATAAAAAAAAACCAAAGCAATAAAAAAACCAAAACATTGCAGGACACTTTAGCTTTGGCGCAGGTAGCAATTGGCAATTTGCCTTTTGTTCACTGAGTGCTTATTTCCACGACTGCCATGCTGAATATTAATGGGAGTAGATGTTTAAACTATGAATAATTCAACTGCTTTGTGTAACAGTAAATCATGATCAGGATCAATGAATCACAGCTGTGACTAGGCTCTTTGTTTTTCATCAAATTGCAAAGGTCACACAAGGTAAGGTATATTCTCTGCAAAAAGGGAACAGAGGTGTAGGCTAAGTTCTAAGTAATTCATTAAATTAATCACACATGAGACATTAATGCAGCAACACTGAGGACAAGTGTTATCAAAGCATCACCACTGGAGCCAATAAGTGCCTTTTCAGTGAACTGTTTGAACCAGAAGGCACTGCAGCCACGAGGCATACTTACTCTGTATACTCACTCTTTGTTCTAACTCTGTGTGGACTGACTTATGAGTTTGTTAAAGTGCAGCTGCCAAAAACATGCTCCCGGGCCACGCACGTTCTCACAACATTTCTGGGCAGAATGCATTGTGTGTGTGGAATTGAAAAATGCCAAAGAAGGCAAGCGGTAAGTACAGTACACACTTGCAAAGGGTCTGAACGGAGGATCCTCCATCTAAAAGCTGCCCTGAGGTCAGAGGAGGAATTCTGCTAAATAAAACCACCAATAGACGAAGTGGGTTGATGTGGGAGGATTCTACTCCTAGAGCCCTTGAACAAGAGCTCTAGTAAAACACTGACTTCAGATGTTCAGCCGTGACATTTGAGTAAATTATAAAAGACAACTTTGTCTTAGTACTCGAGGTTTCAGCCTGTCTGATGGAGGATTAGTACTTTTCCATGAATCCCAGAGCTGCCATGCCCCTGCCTTGAGGCACATCAGTTACCAAAACATGAGACATAAATGTGTATCAGAGGAGATATTTTGTTTGGGTTCCTTCACTATAAATATAGCATGTGTATCTGAAGTGTTATGATCGCTTATGCTTGCAGTACTTTAGGGTTCTAGAAGTTATTAAATCATTATATAAATAGAAATGAACAACCATTTGACTGCACTGAACTGTAAGAAGTATTAATGATCTGTTATCCCTCCTAGGATATTAGAATTCGGTCTTTCACCAACCTGTGAGCTGACGTAGAGTTTCAGACACTCGTCACACACAGCCTTTCTGCAGCAGGGCAGGGGTGCGATGGTTTTGTCTTCCAGGCACACCCGGCAACTCTGCGCCGCACTCTCTGCACCGTCATTTTCTTTGTACACCTGATGGGCCATGTCCCCAAAAGGATCCACAAGGTCGTCCAGTGTATACAGAGGGCGGTCTGGGGTCGAAAACATGACCCGTCCGGACTCAAGGTCCACATCCAGTTCTTCAAAAGAAGCAGTTTCATAGTAGTGGCTGGTGCCTTCAGAGTCTCTTCGCTGGCTGTCATTGGCGATACAGTACACTGTGCAGTAAACGTGTTCTTTGACACAGAAAGATTCATCTAAATTCGTCTCAGTGTTGCTGTCACTGGAACATAAATAATGGCATTGGACTGTCTGTTGATAGGGGCTTAACTCACCCACGGTTGGCTCGTTTTTACTCCCGACGGCGCCCGTTTCTCTGTCCGACGTTGCACAGTCTCCACATTCGCTCCCATTGTCATTGAACGTGTCATTACAGCTGTTTACAGTGTGTGTTTCTTGCTCGTTGCTCTGCTGCATCCGCCCGTTGGAGTTTAGGCGAAGAGAGTGAGATTTTACAACCCCGAAATTCCTCCTCAGAATTGCCACGGCACTCGCTCTCCTCTTTTCTACTCCTCTGCCGTTGCAGTTGTTGTTGTTGTTGCCCTCCTCCTCATCCTTCTCCTGGCTGATCCTCTCCCCGAGCTCCTTCTCAGCCCCGTCCAGAGAGAAGCGAGATTCTGATCTGGTGACACGTCGGCTCAAATCACTGACCGACCGCTCAACTTTACCGCAGTCCCTAAAGAAAGTTTGTGTCGGTAGGTTACGGGACACTCTCGCCCGCCCCTCGTCCAAGGTGCTAATGAAACTGGGCATTTTACAGGCGTCAGTTACCTGTCCGTCATCTTCCATCCCCGGTTTGGCTCTCACCATCTACCGGGCTTCTCTCCCTTGCAAGGACCTCTAGCTTTAACTCCGACCACACCAAAACAAAACAAAGCCAGCACCTCGCTGCTTCCGGGTTTAGTCGTCAGCATGAGTGAGTGCAGTGATAGGCGGAGGGGAAGCCTAGTGGTGAACTGTAGCCCTGACAGATCTGTCTGAGCACAGACACCAATTAAACTATCACAGTGGATGCATTCATTATATCTGTCACATCTGGCTGACCTCTTTTGACCTGTCCCTTTATCAGGGGTCCCTGCAGCAGTAATCCAATAGATTTGGCACCGTTTCTAAACTGCTCCTTCTAAAGTTACCCTCCCACCCAGGGCTGGTAATGGGGATTAGGTAATTGAACATTAAACGTCCCATTATGCATCGATGCACTGCAAAGAAACAGTAACAAATCAAATTCCGTGCAGATTTGATTTGATAGTTTAGAGTAATAAGAGGATAATGGTTGTTATCGTAAGGTGGCAGGTTTGAATCCTGCCAACCATGACCTTGGGGGTCTATAGACAAAAAGTCCCTCACTCCCCAGGAGCAAATGCAGAGGACACATATCTTGTATGTTTTGGTGTCTACTGTTTATGCCCAACAGGGGTGTCCAACACTTGGTTCTCCAAAAGGCTACTTTCACAAAATAAAAATGACTGAGAGCTACTTGTGTTGTGTGATTTATTCTCATAGCTGAATTCAAACAAACTTAATACGTTTTCTTTGCCTAAACATGTTTAATATGTCACTGAGCATATATCACAATTTATATTAAAACAACACCAAAGTATTATTGTAATTATTGCTGCTGCTGTTGTTTGGCAACATGGCAGACCAAAAGGAACATCCATGTATTCATGGCCCAGAATTGTTCCTCCACTTTGACCAAATAAACTGTTTTTTTAATGTTATTTTCTGCAGAATGGCGCCGTCTTCTGGTTAACCGACTCTTCTCTACAACTGTGTGGCAATCGTCATTAAAGATATAAACACAGCATTCATGCTGTGCGGTAGCTGACTAAGTTTTATCTTTATTTACGCGGATATTAAACAGTAGCGAAATTATAAAAGGTTGAAATAAAAACTTTTTGAATCAGTGTTATCATTATTCATCTTAATTTTATTTTTAATTCGGTTTTCTACTATCGAAATATATCTATTTTACTCATGTTCCACAAGGGTAGGGTAGCCGAGTGACACAATTTTTGATAGGATTTTATTTAGAAATGCTGTCGGTTGTTTGGTTTTAGCTCCGCCAACAACAAGTTCCGGCCAAGAGTTTGTCTGCACGTTGGGCCCTCTACTGGCAAAAGGGAGGAATGCAACTGATGTAATGTACCATTGCATTTCAACGATTGGTCGATCTGATGTGCGATTGCACCTCTACAATTGGTTCGTAGTGATGTGCCATTGCACTTCAACGATTGGTCGATCTGATGGGCGATTGCGCCTCTACAATTGGTTCTTAGTGATGTGCCATTGCACTTAAACGATTGGTCGATCTGATGTGCGATTGCGCCTCTACAATTGGTTCTTAGTGATGTGCCATTGCACTTAAACGATTGGTCGATCTGATGTGCGATTGCACCTCTACAATTGGTTCGTAGTGATGTGCCATTGCACTTCAACGATTGGTCGATCTGATGTGCGATTGCACCTCTACAATTGGTTCGTAGTGATGTGCCATTGCACTTCAACGATTGGTCGATCTGATGGGCGATTGCGCCTCTACAATTGGTTGTTACTGATGATCGTTCTCGCTGTCTCAAACCACGTCCGCTTATGTCCTGTTTACCGTTACTTTACGCCCTCTGCTGTCAGAACAGAGCAATTGCACTCATCAACAACCAATCGTTAATGTGAAATTGCACATCAGTTGAAGTGCAGACAATGTCTTTGACCGGAACTTGTTGTTGGCGGAGCTAAAACCAAACAACCGACCGCATTTCTTAATAAAATCCTATCATAAAATGTGTCACTCCGTTACTGTACCCTTGTGGCACGGGGAAAAAATAGATATCTTATATAGTAGAAAGACGAATACGAATGTAACACTTTTAATGTATTTTCCTTTGCTCTCACGTTATTTTTCACACAACTGGATCCCAAAAAAAGCAGTTTTTCTCAGAAACAACATACTGAAAAAATAACTGTAAAAAAATAAAATGTATGAAGGAACAGCCAAAAATCGTAATCACCATTATTTTGATTCGTATTGGAATTACAATTTAAAACAATGATTGATTGGTTTGAGAATTTGCTATTAATAAACCTCAACCTTTATATAATATAAAGATAATTAATAATGAATTTCATTTACAAATTGCTGATTAGATTTCTGTTTCCACAAGGCTTTTAAAAGATTGTAAAAGAACAATTGCCAGTGATGACAGAGCATATTCTGTAGGCCATACGCTGCATGGATTAAGTTAAGACTATTTCTCTGGAGTCCGTAAGTAAGAAATGTATCATCCAAATTTCATCTGAATGTAGATCATCTGCTCGGGCGGCCCCCCGATTTAGAAAAGTATTAGTTCTTATCTTTTCTTCTTAATGGAATGCTGAGGTAACGTTATGGCACTCTAATTGATGTAGAATCTCTGTAGAGTTTAGTGAGCGAACCAAATTCTGCTGGGATTCACTGACGGTTTACAACAGACACACGAGCCATATTTAAGAATCAGAATTGATAGTTCTATTTCCGTGTCATCTCAGCTCTGTCAAGATCATAATTAAATAATTAGAGTGGGGGAAAAATACAATATGTGCCACTTTAGCCTAATAATGTGAATTTCCACTCTATGTGACAGGCACACATCAACATTGACTGGAGATGTGCACTGACAGCCAACTCCAGCTTCCACAGCCCAGAGCCCTTCAGGTGGACTCCGTGTGTCAACTTCAAAGATCTTGACGTGGATCTTGGCTTTTCATCTTCAAGCTCTATCCTCCCAAAACCCAGATACAAACCTGAGCTCCCATAGGTTAATACGGCTTGGCCGGTCATAGTCGTAGCCTCTGGTAAAAGTTGAATCCTCATGCATTAAAACATATTGCATGTGTAACTGTTTACAGGCCTGAGACCCTTGAGAAGTCACAGAACATCCAGTGCCTGAAACCAAAGACGGCTTTATCATGTTTGAGTCAACTTAGAGAAAATACAAAATATTATCATAGTCAACTCTGCAGGTAAAAACAGGAGCCATCTCCAGAATACTCTGTCATTCATTTATCTTATTGTAAGAAGAAAATTCAGCAACTAAGAACTTGAGAAACCAGTTATGAATCAAACAGAAAATCGCAAAATCATCGGACACAATTACTATTCAACTTTATTATGATAATGTTTAGCTGTTAACAATCAATGAAAAGCTAAAGTAGATTTAATTATACTAGTTAGCTCTTATGGGGTAGACAAACGTAGACGCCGACTGAGTTAACCTAATTCATAATTCATTTTTATTGGGGGGATTTTATTGTTTATTTTTGGCTGCGACTTGTTCTGTTTTTCATGCTGTAATCCCCAGTGTAAAGAGGTGTTTTACTTTGCTTTTGTTCCTCCCTACTTCATCATGATTATGCACATGCAGCAGGTAGTCACCATGCAGCACGCAGTAGTATTTGGAACATTCTGTTCAGTATTCTGCAATGTATGCACTTTTTTTTCCACCAGTATGAAACACATCCTTATGCACAATACTCGTTTAATTTTTTTTTTATAAGGAAAATAAAATGGCAGAATTTTTCTAACACAGCCTTTAGATAAACATATCAAATGGGTTGTTGGTTCTACTGTAGTTTCTCATTAAAGTCATATTCTGCCAGTGTCAGGGTGATTCGTTTCCTTGTCCTTGCTGCACCTCTTGGTTTCAGTGTGAAATGCCAACAATGATAGGAAAGACTTTAGGGCTGCACAGATAAGTAGGTGATGGGACATGGTGGTCCAATCAGAAGGTTCTGAGTTCCACCAAGTCTGGTGAAAGCCCAGGGAGGACACTCAGGGGTGGAGTCTCTAAAAACTACCTCGGCGATCATTTAGTTTTATTAGGTTTCTTGAATATTTTATTGAATTTTCAGTGTGTTTTCTCTGAAGCACCGGGCAAAATAATAATAATAATAATAAAATGTTTTTTTACATTAATTAATTCACCTTTAACTGAGGATATTGAATTAGTAAAAGCACTTTTTATTTAAAGTTAATCTCAAAGTAAACAACTTAGCGTGACAATATTTTGACACTGTGAATACAAAAAATGTTTGGAAAAACAAAGAACAAATGGACGACTTAATCTCTTCACTGTCTACTTTATTACCAACTGTCTAATTTATGTACAGTCAGTCGCCTGAAAAACAAAATCAAGAAAAGAAGCATCAAACGTCTGGTGTGATAATGGACGTGTGTGGACGGAGGAAGAACCGAGCTGAGCAAAGAAATCAAGGTACTAACATCATGTTATGAGTTGTTGTCAACCACTGTTTGTCACATGATCACATTATTATTATAATTCTTTTTTTTCACAATATTTTGTCTTAAATCCAAACCATTTCTCCAGGCGTCAATGATCAACATTTTCTTAGAACCGAAAAGAGTGACTTTACTCCCAAATTAATGATATATTCATTACACGTCATATTAATAATAGAAGTGTACACTGGTCCCATTAGTGTAGAGCTTTAGAAGTGAGTAGTTAAACACTGTGAGACTCAACGTTATAATTGGAAACTTTACATTAGCTTTAATGAAGGTTGACAACGATAAAGAGTAAAATAACGTCTGGGCTCTGGAAGGTTCTCCTCCCTGTGCAGAAGAGCAGTTTTACACCTAAAGACATAAGCTCTCCTGACTGCTGCACACTTTAAATGAGAAAATAAATAATTCAGTAAGTAGAGTCTGTTTTATAATTACTATAACTGTTGTTATTGCTTTTCATTAACTATCCTTATTGAATTCTTCCTCCACCCAAAACCCACAATGATCTTTGTACTGTTGGAGCAGACACAGAGCCGTAAACTCTGATGTACTGCTCTCTCTCTCTCTCCCAGTATCTCTCTAATTCACACACACACAAAACAAACACAGGCCCTTGTATTGGTACATTTTCATCCCCCAGTGCAAGGTGATCATAATAATAAAATAAATTCCATGAATGAATAAATAAATGAAAACATTCACTTTTTTTCACATCTTAAAAAATGGAAATGAAAAAAAAAAGTGTAGTCTGGAAATTCATCTGAACATTTTTTACAGGATATCTGTGTTGAAATTCTTGTTGATGTGAAACATGACCAAATAGAAACTGATGACTGCAACACAATCCAAAAAGTTTAAACAGAGGCAAAGAAACAGAAGTAACTTTTCAGAACAGTAACAGGAAACTGATCTGGGAATAATACTGCATCAACTGGTACCATTACTACGACGTGTAAAAAGGGCTTTCCTCTGTTCAGACTATTGTTAGAACTAAATGTCGCAGCTTCCAATTGTACTATTTTTATTTTAGTAGATCCGTGTGAAATGTCCCTTTTCTGATTTAAACAAAGTTGATGAAAATGACCAAACTGCACATCTTAGTTTTAATGCATTTATTAAATCTGGGAATGGGATTTGGATACACGGCAACTACTGAAGGTGGGAATCTCTGTGATTTAGTTTATTAAAAACCAACATTCTAGAGTATTTATGAGTATTCATCATAAATATGGACGTCAGTATGTTAGAAAAATGAAAATGAATGTCAAACTATCATGAGGTTTGAATGAAGAAAATATGGACTATAGTGCAACTATTTGACTTCACACCTGGTCCTAATCTCTGGTTTCACACGACTTTACGGTTAGAAGAAGTAAAACGAAGTATAGTCCCACTTTTACACAACATCGTACATTAGTAGTCGACTAGAAAAAACAGTAAACACGGCCACATGTTATCAAAAAACGTCTAGAAGTTCAAAGTTACATTTCTTCGTTTTTACAGCTATTTTGCGCCGTCACCTGGCAGACACTCTCTGACTGTTATAGAAAAAAAAACACAAAGTTCACATTTAGGACTCTCGGAAGAGAGCGGAGGAGCATTCAGCAAACCAAACTGTTCCTGTGGAAGGTAGCTAGTTAGTCACACGCAGCATGAGATTAAATACACAACAGTTTGGAAACACTTCATGCAAACACACAAAATGCCTATTTTTTCCCTGCTCCACAGAGTGAGTGTCAGGGAAGCCCACCCATGGAGCAGCGGCTTTTAACAGAAATCAAGAGCTGGGGATAAGTGTCAGAGTGAGGTGGAAGTCAAACGCTCAGATCACTTAGTCAGAGGGACAGGTTTCCTTAATCAATGCTTGCCTTTTAAAATCATAGTCCACGTGGTCCAAGCGGAGGATTTGGTCCGGCGACTGGTAACGGTAATCTGTACTTGTGCAACATAATCAGCTACATTTGAAAGAGAATGTTAAATTCAAGAGGAGAATTAAAAAGTGAAATCTGTCTGGAATGCAAACGGTAGAGAATATTCTCACTGGTCGTCCAACACTGGACACCAGGTGGAAGTCAACCTGAGACCTGTTGTTTTTGGTCCCAGCGTGCTGCGTTCAGGGAACCACACTTTATAGATGTCTATGTGGTGTGTGTGTGTTGGCACTTTCATCATGGAAACATGAGCTGTCAGGTGGGGAGGAGACTCAAGCCTGGAATAGTTTTTCCTTCTCGTTGGTCCACGGTGTGTCCCTTTGCTTTCCTTGTCTTGAGCCCAACTGAGGCGCTCTGTCTCCACAGGGTGATGACATCACTGTCTGTTACGTCTTTTTGATACGAAAAGCCACGTCCACCCTGATTGTCACTACTGTAAGAGGTGTGTCTTTTCTCTTGGTGCCGACGCTGCCCATGGAAAAGTTCCACAGAACTGGATGCTGTAGCTGGCGACTGATGGGTATTTCATGTGACCTCCATGTGAGCACTATTCAAATATAAATCAAACAGGAACAGAATCTGGATGTGGTGTTGAGGTGTTGACCTCTCGCTGTACCTGGGAGTTTTTCTTACTTATTATTATTGTCTTCATCCCTTTCTACCTGACTGCCTTCAGTACGAAGAAATGTTTGGGCAGCGAGGGACCAAATAAAAATGGAAAAATGTCCAGTCTGACTCAGTGGAGGAAAAAACACAGTTTGACATTTGAGAATTTGTGGCTCAAAAATGTTTCTCTTCAGTCTCTCACTGGTTCCTGTCTGATGTGGTCTACCTGCTGGAGCCACGAGTCAAGGTTGAAGAATTCCATTCTGTAAACATTATAAAGATTCACATTACTCGTGTGTGTGTGTGTGTGTGTGAGCCTGCTTCCTGTACATGTGAACAAAGGTGACGATATCATGTAAATATATACACACACCACACTGTCCTTTAACATTCACAGATACTGAAGGAAATGAGAAGGATGTGTGTGTGTGTGTGTGTGTATCATGTACTGTACATGTATCAAAGTCCAGCCATGTTCACATCAGGCCTCTGTCTCTGCAGTGTCAATGAATGGGAGATATTTGTAGTCTGGTACACAGTACTTTAATCAGTAGTCTTTTTCAGAGATACTTGATAAGTTGAAGTGCAGTGTTTAATCTGTGAGGCACGCCGAGCATAAAGAGCTCCAGGGACACTTCAGCAGGCTCTGCTGTGTACGCAGGGATTATGAGACAGGAGAGCTCTTTGTTGCACTAGAACGTCACTGAAAGCAACTGGTTCCGGCAGATCACTGGCGTCGTGTTATTTCCTGACAACAGAAACCCGAAAGGCCTCTCTGGATCTTTGATGATTTGCTCCTCCCTTTGTTTGGCTTTTTCACAATGCAGATTTTTTCCAACGGCACAAGAGAAAATGACTTGTACATCCTGGTAGTGGCCGCGTCCAGCCACACGAGGCCAGTGTTTTCTCAGAAACAGACATGACTAAAAAAAAAAAAAAGAGAGAGAAACCGATGGGGGACTTCAGGACATGTTCAGGGTGTGTGTTTGGGTGGGACAATGCAATATTTAGACGTCAGTGTGTCTCATCCAACAACGGCGTCCCGTTTTTGTTTGTTGGGAAGAAACGCCGGCTGGGTTAGTAAAAAGAGAATGTAAGTAGTGGCGTAGGATAAGGCAGCACTCCTGTAGTTTGTCCTGGGTTTACTTGGACCTGCAGAGGAGAAGATGGAAGATGTTGAGTAGTTCTAACGACAAGCTAAAATATTGGAAAAATTATACCATTAACACAACCCCAGTGTTTGTTTTTCTGATAAACTAATACCTCCATCATCATCATCATCATCATCATCATCATCAGAGCCCTTCATCACTACGGTCCTCACTCTCCAACATTTACAGTCTCACAGACTATAGAATCCTTCCTTCGTGCTGTTCTCATCTTATCACCTCCCTCACCGTACTCCTCCACACCTGAACACCCATCATCAGAGCCCTCCTCATCAATTCTCCTCAGTGCACCTCCTGCCCACTTAACCTTTATGAATTCCACAGCTTTTAGCTGAGGAGTTCCTCATCTTGGGAACTGTCTTCCACAACTAATCCCCAAGTCTGACTCACTCAACCTTTAAATCCTGATTTAAAAATCGTCGGCATAAAACTGGCTTATACGCTGTGACCATATGGCGTCTACACTCTTTTTTTCTTTGACTAACCTTAACTATAGCCGTCTCATCATCTTCGGTAGAGTGAGTACTGTGATGTACTTGGGACCAATTCTGACACTGTCACTGATTTTTGCAGGAGCGGTTGTCCTAATGGCAACCGAAAACCTTGGTTTTAATGAGCTAGAACCTCATTATTGAGGTTTGAGGTTTGGACAAAGATGTGAAGGTTTTGTTCAGGTACAAGGAGGTTGTGGTTCTGGTGAGGGTTCATGTTAGGTCACACAGATGAATGACAGCCAATACAGAGTAAACAGGAATCACTGCATGAATGTAGTGTGTGTGTGTGTGTGTGTCTGTGAGTTGATGGTGTGTGTGAGGCCACAGCTGATGCTCTTTTATTAGTCCCTTTGGTCAAAGCTAATAAACCTCAAAGTAAAGACAACAGCTGGTGAACAATGATAACGCATTGATGATCTTTGTGCACGTGTGTGTGTGTGTGTGTGTGCACATTTATATATGTGTGTGTATATTGATCAGTGTATGAGCCCAGTACACGGTGTTACGTGTTTGAGTCTGTGTGTGCAAACAGCAGATACCTGTATATTCACGCAGCAGCTCTTCTCTGACTGTGTGTTTGTGTTTGCAGCCATTATGTTTGGGGTCAATGATTTATGATCTACGTTATGGCCTCCACAGGGACATATAAAACTACCGAATGGCCCTTTATTGCCTTTCTTCTTTGGTTAGACCTACGGTTCATCCATCACTCTGGGTTTCTCATCTTCCTGTCTCTCTCTCTTTCTCTCTCTCTCTCTCTCTCAGACTCTGTCCATCCTCTCTCCCTCCGTCCTTCTGCATCTCTCTCTAATTTGCTTTGGCTTTTCTTCCTAATAAAATCTGTTATTGATAACCTGTCGGCTGCACATCAGCGGAATCACCATTATTCTGCCTGCTTGTTTGTTACAGCGGGGTAGCTTTCACTGTATCACATGGTGCTTTCCACAGGCCGAAGTGAGACCGTGGGATCGATACAGTGCTGTCTAAGCCTGGACTCAGACCGCTTTCATGTTATCCTACTAGCTCTGCGCTCTAAGAATAGCCACTGATCTCTCTGAAAGTGACTACGGCACGAAATCAACATATAGATACAAAATAAAATTCCACCAGAATGAATCTACATTCATTTGTTTGCAGAAACACATCACCCCTGGAGGACGGGGGTTTCCATTCACTGTGGGATAAAGAATTTATCATACAAAACACAGCATGAATAAGATAAGGGTACAACAGGTTAATCACATATCCTCCGCCTTCATTTGCACCGTGTTAGGAGAGTGATAAAAAAAAAAAAAACTCCGGCAGTAATAACTGATGAGACCTTGGGCTGATAAATGGTAAGACCTGGTGCTGATGCAGCCGGAAAGTACTTGTATCATCCAATGCAGACCTGGAGGTATCAAACAATGATGAAAATGAGTCTCCAAACACAACGTGCTGTTGATGCTGGGGTTGAATTAAGGAGCAGTCTCCCTCCCACATGCAGATGTTGTCAGCTTCTTAAGACAGCCAGGTTTAAAAACAGCATTAGCTGCTGGATAACCAAATTCAAATTTACAGTGGATAAAGAGGTTTACACACTCTGCTGAATGACAGATTTTCTTATGTAAAAAATATTTCATTTCAGAACATGGAATTAAATATCATCACATTAAAATAGACAGACGCTCAAACGATCTCTCTTTAATACTTCCAGGTCTTTTTGATCAGAAGTCTGATCTCCTGTCATCAACCTGTCTTAGGTCACATTGAATTTATGACCAGGCTCTGGCTGAGTAGTTACAAATATATTTTCTTAAAATGAACTCATTCTGTGCTTTATTCAGACGTGTGTTTTGGATCGGTGTCGCTCGTTGACTTTCTGTAATGTGAAAATTCCTGGGGGAAGCCTGGAGGAGTTTTTTTTTCATAATTCTCTCTATTTTGACTTGCTAATCAAAACTAAGTGAAGAAAAGACCATATATGAAGAATAAACATATTGAGCTTTTATAACTGTGTATTGTGATACACATTAGTATTCCATCCACAGCAGTAAAATAAAGTGGATAATCATACTCACATGTACATTGGCTGTAGCTGAAGGTGGGACGTCTTCTGGGGCCCCTGGTAACCGTACGAGTCGAAGCCTCCTATAAAATCAACTGTGGATAATATCAAACAAACAAACACATAATTATGAGTAAATATATGCTCATCTGGGAAACAACCTTCCATCGCTAATGAATCATTCAATCTCACTCCTCACACCTACTGAGATCCCAAAGCAGCCTGCAAGAAGACGAAGACGAAGCAGAAGAAGAAGAAGAAGAAGAAGAAGAAGAAGAAGAAGAAGAAGAAGAAGAAGAAGTAGGAAGAAGCGTGAATCAAGTTGTGGGCATGAAACCGCTCGCAGCCAAAGTTTGGATGTGGCTGCATACTAATCATGTGCTGCAGATTTACATCTATTTCAGGCAGAAAACAAAGGCTAAGGATATGCTCAACTGTTAAATTATCCAGGATAGCTGTGCACATCCCAGGGCAGAGGAGCTGCCAGCAGGTGGTTGCTTTGCTCACACTGAGCCCAAGAGCCCGGTCTTTTAAAGCGCGGAGACCGGGATATTTTTTTCACTTTGATGTTGTACAGCTCATTAAAGGGTACTTCCCTGCCTCATCAGCAGCACACTTTCTTCTTTATTCTGTGAACTTTAACATTAAGTACAATATGGAATCTGGCTGTCACCGCGAGGATGACGATAAGTCCTGTGTAAATTTACCTGCACTTAGGAGAAGAGTTTTTTGAACACGGGCCACAGACCACAGCAAAACAGCCTATCCATCAGACGGCTCGTTAAATGAGGAATTTTGCAGATCTTGATCCGCCTTTTTCTTAAGACCTCAGATGATTATATGCACATACATTCATTTTAATTAAATTCCGTCAGGGTAAACGACAGAAGAAAGATTCAGAGACTGTGAGTTTCCCCTGTTTAATCAAAGTGATGGTGTAAAGGCTTTAGTTCTCTTTTTCATTTTGTCAGATTTATACCATAATCCTAATATAAGCCACCTCTCAGCTGCGACACGTCACATTACTTCTATCACGTATGTGCAGCCGGGGGGGGGGGGGATTTTAATGATACCAGTAGTGCAACAGTTTACATGCAGTGCGGTGATATGTTTTGTGATTTTTATTTATTTATTTTTTTCATAATCACTGGACTCATTACTGTTGTTCAGACAGAAGCTGCAAAAACAGTGTCTGTGTTTTCAGCCGTAGCTTAAATTAGACGGCTGGTGTTAATACTGTTCCTTCTCTGTCCCTTTGATTAAAGCCTTTGTGTATGTTACAGCTAATTATATTCATTGTTTTCACCTCTAACATCCACCCTTTAATGTTGATCACTGACTTAATGCATCATTATTCTTATAATCTTTTTTTTGCCAACCTCATTCTTTGTTCTGCACCTGAATGAGTCAAGCGCCACAGGCAAGGACTTGTCAAACATTTTTAAGTGCAGATGTTTCCGAAAACTCAATGACTGTTGATTTACGCAGGGCACTTTGTGGCTGTTTATAACGCTGCTGAAATGTATATGAGCTGAGCGAGGAGCAGCAATGTTTGGCTGCTTTAGCTTTAATGATGCTGCGCTGATTGTAGCTGTGCAGCTCTCTGTGTGACTGCAGCATTTATTATGTAGCCCAGATGGGCTGGAACATCATTCAGCTTTTGTGGTAAAGTTTTTTTTTCCATATATTTGTTAGGATGCAAAGAAAAACAATCCATAAAATAGTCAACAACAAACATGTATGCCAGAAGATAAGCTGAAAAATAATTAAAAAAGGTCATAAAATCAAAATCAAAATGGCCGAAAAAAAGAACCCCAACCAAAGCAGCCTGTACTAGAGACCAAGTGAGGCTGCAGATCCAGCGTGTGGTAAATTAGAGTTTTATAGCCTTTGAGGCCTGACTTCACAAGCAAAATCACCATTTGATTTCTGTCTAGTCTGCACAACTAACAAAAGCAAAAATAACGGTTGACTCTTGGGAGGAGGACGGGAGAAAACTAAGGCGGCTGGAACTACATGCACAGACGATCAGTGAAGCGAAACAGTTTGTGTTTAAACTCCATTTAATAGTCATTGAAATATTGCAGCCTTTTGAGAGAAAAAAAAAATCTACCACCGGCGCCTCAATTAAAACCATGGACTGGTAAATGGCCAAAACATGGTCAGTGAAGTGAAGGTATTTGTCAGCTCTGATAAAGACTGGAGAGTGAATGCGGTTCAGAGAAATTGGATAGTTTACTGTAGAAAAATGTGTTCATTTTCAGAGAAGCCACAGTTGATAATTACTCTTATGTCTAAGACCCCTAGTGACTTAGTGATTTGAATTTTCCATCTTTTCTTTCATCAGGTTTGTACAGAAGTAATCACATATCTGTGGGTCTTTTCAAGGCATGCAGACCTTTACCCTGAAAATGATAGAGCTCTAGTGCGGTGAAAACTGCAGCAGATTCAGCTGCATCAAGCAGGAGAGCATTCTGTGGCAAATGAGGCGTTTAAATTGTTTTCAATCCCACTCCTGACGCCTCCCAGAGTGGTAAAGAATGGGCTGCAGATCCCACCGTCAAATCCCCAGTCTTTGTCTTATGATATTTGTCCTATGGATTTCTGTGCTTGCTGAAATAGTGGCTGCATGGATGCTCTTTCCTTTTTATATTCTGCAGAATGAGGCAGGAGAAAAAGGCATTGTAGACTCTTTTTGGGAGAAAAGACCCAAAAATAAAAGACCAAATAGTGTTTGGCTCCTGCTGATTCATGCTGCTGTCAACCGGTCTCAGCGGTGATTCTGCCATGCATGACCCTTTGTACACATGGGGGAACACAGCCCCCCCCCCCTTTCCTGATCAGCATGCTGCCTATCAAGCTGTCGCAGTCTCTTTTTAAAAATTCAAATATGATAATCACTGGTCTCGTTCTTTGAGGACACTGGAAATAAATGAGGAAACAAGTGAATTATTCAACATCGTAAATGTGGAAAATACCACTGGTCATATTGGCAGATTATTATTATAAAGTCCCGACGTAATAGTGTTGTAAAAATGATCCATTTCTAAAGTGTCACTCGCAAGGACATAACTAACAATGGACAGATGAATCAAAGGGGAATGAAAAAAATCCAAATGAATTATGTTTCAACATTTTGTAAAGTATGACTGTAAATATCAATAGTACCGTAAGATTATAAAAGGTACAGTTTGTAAAAGTATGTGTCTGGTGGTGGTGGTGGGGGGGTGGTCTTCTCCCGCTCCTCTACCCCTACCCTTGGCTCACCACACGTGGTTTTCTATTAAGTTTTTATTAAAATCCCTGTGCATTAATTCGCATGTGAGACTGTCTGAGTCATCGGAGTAAAAGAGACACACTACTGCACTGTACTACTAAATATAAGGATTAATCCACACACGTCGACACATCCTCAGACATGCACAGAATCATTATCAGACTAATTAGCTTTCTCAGCAGGTTAAAGTCTCCACTGGTCCTCGGTGAGTACTAGCTTCCTCACCCAAGGCACTTTTCCTACTAAGCTCCCTGATTATTGTTTAGTCTCCCAGACTGCATTTGGACAGACACTTCCACAGCCAGAGATAATTCTGCGTCAAGGATGATGTGAAAACGCTGCTGCTGCTGACGAGATGCCGCCTTCCACTACACAATCATTAATTAACCCTTATTAGTAGCCGGGAACTTCATTTCAAGTCCTGATGAGTTTTTTTATTCTTTTCTCCCACAAGGAAAGGTGTGAAAATGGCTTTTGCTTATTTTTGCTCATTATTGTCAAGTGTGGATGTTTTTTTTTTTTTGTCTCTGTAGGTTTCCTAGATGCACTCCTGTCTCATCCTATTATCGAATACAACTCCAACTTTAAAATGTCTGTTAGAGTTTATTGGTCAGTGTGTGTTTATAAGCTTTATAATAAATGGAAGCAAAAGTCACTGGAAGCAGAAATAAGCATGTGTTGGACTGTGGATGGAAACAGCAGCGCTGGCATCCTGTTTGTTCCTATGGTTTGTATGGTTTTAAATAGGAATTCATTCATTTCCTGTTTTCCATAATAAACTGTAATAATAATACAATTTTGGGTTTCTTTTTTTTATTCCTCTTTAAATGTCTGTGTCTCTCATTTTCACATTTAACATCATATTAGACAGTTCTACTACTTTCCATTTATCATTTAAAACCCAAATATTTTGAAGTAAATCTTCAAACACCGGTTGGTTGGTTATTAAATGAGAAAAAGAAGAAGAAACAACAGCTGATTGTTATTCTTTCCAATTTTACTGTTTTTTTTTTATATGAAGCATTGTTGGGAGAAATAAAAAATCCTCGGTTCCCCTCAACTGTCAGTCTGCTTCGAAAAACAGGAAAACCTGTCTACTTTCAGCATTTCAAGTGATTTCCAGCTCCAGTTTGCGTTTGTTACCGATCAATAATTGTGTTAGTAAAGGGCACCCTCGATCTGATGTTGAATAAGGCATGCTTGGTCATTGATTTTCCTGCATAATTGCTGCACTTTGGTAGAATAACTAACTAGCCTGGGTAAATGGAGCCATTCAAGTTAATCCTCACAGGCGAGCACTGCATTCAAATGGACACAGTTGTGAAATGAACACGTCGCGCACATCGCATTGTATTTACAATTGTAAAAAGATAACTAATTGGCTGCCTAATTTACTGTAAGAAACGTGCACTCAATAAAGTCTAGTTAATCTACATAACGGTCAGTCTCTTTATTGACCTGTGGAGTTGTTGAATCACAGCATTAGAATTCTGAATTAGAAGCATCATCATGATGAAGGGTGTCTATTGTTCCTAGTTCTAGTTCATTATCCACCCATTTGAATTAATTCCAAATTTTTAATTCTTAAATAATTATTTTTTATCGTTTTGATGCAAAAACCTTGAATTTGTTGACTGGGCTTTTCCATATATTTTGGAGTAAATTAAAAAAGAAAAAAATGTCGTTATTATGGTAAACAAAGATGGTTGTGGGTGGGGCTCCACAGCTGATCATGCCTGTGCCCTGCTCCGTGGGGTTTGTTTTCTTAAAACACCAAAATAACCTCCTTGATAATTTGCAGCGACAGAACAAAAACCAAAAAAACAAAAATCTACATAAAAAACACTGCACACTGTGTGTAATACATGTATAATCCTATATATACAGAATGTATGACTACAATCTACAAAGTGTTTCATGTACTGTGTATGTCTGGGTACTTACAGCTGTCCTCCTCTTCAGAAATGAGTTTGACCACGTAACAGGCGTAGATGAAGCCCAACAGCTAAAAGGAAAAAAAAAATAAGAACAGCAGAAACAAATTAGTAAGCGCTATTTATGTAAAAGAGGTTTGTTAGAGAGATGAGATAGAGGGATTAAGAGAAAAGAGAGAAAGAGAGAGCTCTGACATTGAACAATTAGTTGGAACAGAAAGACAGGTGTTGTTCTAAGTGGAGCAGAACAGCGGCGTGGTATCCAAAATAGAGCACTCGAATCACAGGCGCACACACGCATGCAAACAGATTTAGGCTGGTGCTACGTAAGATAGCAGCCGGCGCGTCTGACACCATCACTCACAACCACCAGGGTGATGGTTAAGAGCCGCTATGACAACACTCATCTGAAACCTGTACAGAAATTAAACAAAGACCTGCCACGGCCGTCTCTCTGTCGTGGAGTGGTGTTTGTGTCTAAACCTAAGGGAGATTGCGATCGCTGAAATTGAATTTTTATCTCTGGCTGTAGCTTTGGAGTTGCAGCATGAGCACAGATAGTTTCTGCTGTTGTCAAAACCAAGCCCTCACATGAGTGCCACCCACTCTATCATGGGGTTTTTGTGCCGTGTATTGTTCACCTCACTTTGCCCTGAGTCACGGTCTCGTGTTGGTTCGAGCCCATACACAGAGCGTTGGAGAAGAATTCATACAGGAAGTTGAAGGAAGAATCGTTATTTTTCCGTAATCGTGGCTCAAACGTCTGCATTCTGCTGTGTTAAAGTGTGTGGGGGTTAGTCAAGCTACAGTAGAAGAACACCTTTGCTCCCTGATCTCACTGGCTATCTGTTTCCAAGGCAACTTTCAGGAAAAGTTGATGGGAGCAAAGACACATGGAGGTGCAGTGAACCTAGGGCAAACGCTTTAGTCAATTTATAACCCTGTTGAAAAAAAGATAAAAAGGAGACGAGAGGTGTAGGAGTTGGTGCACAGCGTGTGTGTGTGTGTGTGTGTGTGTGTGTGGTCATAAGCTATTCTTCCTGCATAAGATGTTCTTATTGCTTAAATAGGTGCTGGAGAAAAAAAGACAATGCCTCTGTTGGTATTCTATTGACTGCACACACACACACAGACAGACACACACATTGGCACATAAACGCTTATGGAGCTGCAAATGTGAGCGTTTGAGATTCAGTGTATATCTCAAGGTCTTGACCTCATTTAATCTAAATAATGTTCTGCTCCTGAAGCTCCGCTCTCCTGCACCTTTTTCTCATTCTCTCTTCCTCGCTCACTTTTTCTTCCCGGCCTCCTATTTTCCCTCCTTTTGTCTCCTCTTTCTACATCACCATTACCTTCCCCTACCTCATCTTTCTTTCCGCTCCTCTCTCCTCAATGGTTTCTGACAAGTCAATGAGTCATAAAAATATACTGCTGTTTTTAATGGCTGATGATTTTTACCTCAAGAGCTGCCAAATTGTGTTAGCAGAAAATTCTGCAAGCATTAGCATGAATATTAACGGAAATTGGGAAATCCATTTTCATCAAGATTTCCACGAAGAGCACTGGTGCAGTGTAACTTAAAGTAAGCCAGAACATTAAATTAAAGCAAATAAGATGAAAATAATTTGGCAATAAATGTGTGTTTCTGCTATGTTTAAGAAATGTGAAAATCACTGCCACTGCACCTAGAGAAGAGGAGGAAGCCATTCGATGATCTTTTGTAAAAACTGAATGACATTTTCTAGTTGACCCTTTTCTGTAAAAAACAAACAAAACCAAAAAACAAGTTTGTGGCGGACGACTTTCTGTGTGATGTGTTAAGACGACCGGGCTCTGACCTCACACCGTCAGGCTGCCCTCTCTGTCCACCGCCACTCCAGCTTCAATGATTTATCATTAGCATTCATTACAAAGGACACTTTGAATGTTACAAAGTCAAACTGTTTTTGAAAAGACTTTCAAGACTTTTCTATCACACGGAGAGAAAGCAGATACCCACGCCCCCCTCTGTCTTCTGCAGGATCATTGCCTCTGAAAATGGCTTTTGGGTGCAGTTGTGTTAGCACTGGCGAACAAAGTGCAGAGAGCCGTGGCCACTCTGCAATAGAGAACATCTGATCAGCTGTGACACCAATCTTTCTCTGTACATCAATATCCTGTTAATATTCTCCATATTCCAGGATTCTGTCTCAGTAACAAGGCATCCCATAATATCCTGTTTACAATAACCCTGATTATATCTCCTCCCAAAAATAAGGCACCAATGATATCACTGCTGACGCGAGCGCTCTGTTCTCTGGAGCCCAGTGAGTTTGATGAGTGTGTTCGGGGCCCACAGTTATATTAAGACCATCCTGTTTGTGATGAAGCCTGAAAAGACGCCAGTATTTTTACTTCTCCAGGTGAAGGTCTTTAACAGAAGCTGCAGGAACAACGTCTGTTACAAACCAGATTATGATCCGACAACATACAGTACAAACAACGGCGCACGTCTCTTATCCTGTGGCCTCGTTTTCAGATGACAGACATTATCCTTGAAATACGTTAATTTATTTCTTTTCTACTCTGTTTTACTCACAGTGACTCATACAGCGAAGCTTGCAGCAATCAGGATTGTATTGCTACAGAGTGAATTAAAGACATGAGAGCAGGGAAATGTAGGTTTTTTCAGGATACCTTTTTTTTAACAGAGAAACAAAAATTTGTAAAAGCGTTTAGAAAAAAAATATGTAAAATACAAAAGTAGAGGCTGACCATTCATTTAGGTGAGTGGTGGAAAAACATGGCACAGTAGGAAACTGAAAATGTGTGAATTAAATTTGCATTAGAAATGCATGAATGTATTTATGTATTGTATTTGTATAATAACACAGCATAACTTTGCAGACATGGTCAGATTAACTATGCAGTATTATTAGGAATTACTTCAGAATACAACTATGCAGTATTATTAGGAATTACTTTAGAATACAATGTCACATGGATATTTTTCCATACAAAAAAATGTCCAAATCACAGTGTTTATCACTAGCACCTGATTCTTGAAAAGTTCTTATATTTGAAGGCTAATAATAAAGAGAATGTATTCATAGAAAAAAAAATCTACGACACTGAAAAACCTTCAACCGACTATAAGTCAGATTTTACCCCACGGCTTCCAACAACATTATTAGTAAAAAGAGAGTGAATTAACGGCCACATACCCCGAGAGACGAATTAAAGCTAGCACTTTTATGATTTGTTGGGTCTGTTTCATTGCCCTGTTGAGCCACATAAACCTAGAAGCCACAAAAAAAACTGCTCAAGGTCCCAGACTTTTACCATCATACACCAGGTCACAGTAAAAAAGAAACCACTGACCTTCTTGTTGTGAGGATGACAAGGCTGACCGCTGCTCCACATGTGGCCCAGTTTAATATAAAGTAACAGGGATGTCAGTTTGCTGACACGTGAATCTTGGCTTATTTTCAGCCTCTGTTTCAATGCACACGTGTTGAATTTTGGGTTTTTATCTGACAACGCTGCCCCTCCCTCCCCCCGTCAGTGGATTAGGGTTACCTAGAAACTACAGCCAAACTGAAGGATGTGTCGGTGTGAGGAGTAGAAATTTAAATTGCACCACTTGAGCATGAACGGAGGCAGGAGCCCTGACCTGAAATGCCTTACAAGAAGTAACTGGTTTAATTCACTTCACCTTGCACAGTCATGTCCCCTAATTCAGAGGAGAAACCACTTTTAAAGGTTTTCACACTGTCAGACTCTCTGCCTGGAGACGAGGGCAGGTCTTTATATGGTTTCTTAAACCTAATGCACAGGCGGTTCTGGTTGCCATGGTAAACACAGTGAAGGTAGATCAGCGTGCACTTGTTCAGTCGCTAAAACCAGCAAGACTTCACGATGAGAGACGGTGAGGGAGCAGCGGTATGGATAATCAACTGTCAAATGTATATGTTCTGGCCTCTCTGCATTGGCTGAAGGTAGAATCTTCCCCTCCAGAGCTAGAACAGAATGTTCTGAACAAATGCTTGAAATGATGATAACTGCAAATTGGACTCCCTGAACTACAGTTACAGACTTTAGTTTCTCAGTGTCTCCCCAGTTTCTGAGACAATCTCCTGTTCTGTAAGTTGTAATACACAGAACATTGGTAAAAAAAAATCATGGCGTCTCCCGTTTGACTCAGTGTCAGATCTGTCTGTAATATTCTCAATGATTTGTACCCTGTTGGATAAAAACTCATGTTTCCTTGAAAAGATTAATAGTTTCCTTTAATGACAAAGATGTGAAATGAGATCCTTACTCATAGCACAGCTTAATCAATACTGCTGCCTTCATCATCTTACAAGTGTCTCTAAAACTGTACAGGTATGACACAGAGGCTCAAAGTGCACGGTAACTTTTCCACTGTGGAAATGTCATTAAAGTAGAAATCCTCACTCTCTCCTACGATGATCAAGACTCAAATTCTGCCTGAGCAGAAACTCTGAGCGCACCTGGACCTCTTCAGAGAAGCTTAGGGTGAAAGTAGTTGAATGTCAAACAGCTGGCGTTTGATAAGGACGGGGAGGAAATCTGCAAAATGTGCTCTGCATAGCCCGAGTCCAAGAAGGTGGGGAGAGCATCACGGGAGGCGACCTTTCGCAAGAGCATGAAGAAGCAGCGGAGAAAGGCAGCTATAGGTCAACAACCCAGTGACGCACTTCGTCCTCCGCGACGGTGTCCAAAACAAACTCAGTGCAAAGTGCTGACGGCACAGAATCGCACCTCTCAAGGTCTGTAAAACTCCTCAGGTCTAATCAGCCCGCGGGTTGAAAAACGACCAACATCTCAGTCGATCTTGGCGTCTTTTAACTTCACAATAGATTCTGTCTCTTTACCTCCCTTTTTCTGGCCCAGGAACTGTCGAGCTGTCCGTTTGTCTAACAATCTTGCAGTGAATTAGATGTGTTAACTCGGGGGAAAAAAGTGTCTTCAAATGAAGGGATCGCTGCAGAAATACTGTGCTGCAGAATGAGCATTGATTAGAATGTCCCCTTCCATGGATAAAATCTGTTTAAAAAACCTGGTAGACGGATTGCAAGGATTTGTAAAATTAAAAAATGTTCCAGAAAACCTGGAATATTTACCAATTAAATCTAAATAAAATGACACCTCATAATTAAATCTTTACTTGTTTGTTTGTTTTTCAAAGATAATTAAAGTGCACATGTACGTATTTCTTAACAGTTCCTGGAACCATTCAGCCACACAAGTTGGTTTCCATCTGATTTTGAATTTCCCAGCTTTTGTTCAACTTGTTTTGTCTGCCTTAATCTGAGAAAAACAACCAGACGATTTTACTTATTCATCAAATGCAGGATTAGTTGCCGTCGAGCAGAGCCTGGACTGACTGACCTTCATTTCTTATGCACCGCTCTTTTTTTCCTGTATAACAACGGCTGTGAAAACCAATCTGGTGCCACTGCTGCAGCCGTGAATACGACGTGACCCCGGCGTGGCATCGTCGTCTGGTGTCACTGACGAGAGAATGAGAACCATGTTTAACATGCCGATGACTCAATTCTTCAGAATGACCATCAAACAAATCTGTGTTTCTTTGTCATGTGTGATCAGTTATGTCTTTAATTACCTGTGAATTTTTATTGAAGTGGGTGAAAAGAAAAGGAGGGTGTTATTATGGATTTGCTAGTGGTTAAAAGGACCACCTTCACCCTGTTCAGCTGGTGTTCTCCTGTGATTTATTTAAGAGAGAGGAAGCCATAAAACAGTGGTGTCAAAGTCAAATGAGCTGAGGGACACTGTGCCACTGTCACTTCCTTTGCTGGGCCACGTTAGAGGTCAGTGTTCAGAGTACAAAGAATTTCAACAGCGCACCATTCAATTCAGCTGAACTGTACTGAGCCTAACTGAATCAGACCAAACCAAACTGAACCAAACTGAACTGAACAGAACTGAATCAGAGCAATATGAAATGAACTGGACTGAACTGAAACATTTGATAAAAAAATAGAAAAGTAGTTTCTGTTTAATATAAATACTGTATAATACTGCATTGTCACAGCTAGTATAATCTTTTTTCTCACTTTTAACTGACCAAATAGAGCATTTTATAATTATATATATATAACCAAAAACCAAAATCACCTCAATTTCACAGGCCAGACTTGGGGGAGCAGGATAGCAAAGACTAGTGTCCCTGAGCAGATTTACTGACTGACGTACAGGACTATACATTCAATGACAGATGTTTACTTCACTTACCCACAGTCAAGACAGTGAAATTCCGTGAGTGATTTAGTGATTAACGACCCTACGTGTCCTCCTACCGGTTTGACTGTGAACCGGGAGTTGATGGATATTCATCCTCCACCTGTAACATCTCCTCCAGATGTTGCTAAAGGCAGTAACTGGCTGGATGAATGTGTTTGGCTGCTCAAACGGATTAGTATCTTTTAAAGGGACTTGTCATTTTAACGAGATTCTCACAGTCAGCTCGTTGAGAGTTGAAAAATGGTGTGGCATGCAAACAAGCAGGCGAAACTAATGACCATTTTCTACATGGGAACTGGAAATGTCAGAGAGTTTTTGACTGAGTGGATTGGAAGGATTAGTGTACTCAGGTTTTATTTTCTACCCCAAAAACAACAGTGGGGGATTTCACTGATTGGTTTTCCTCGCTGCTTCAGGTCACGTTAATCACTTCAATTAGGTTGACACCCTGCATGCTGAAGCAGTGAGCCAGCAGGTGGCCTAATCATAGGTGATTTTTTTTCTGGTGAAATGTCATTTAATTATCTCTCTCTCTGTATTATTAACAATTAGAGTAAAAGTGATAAAAATGTAATCACAGAAATCACTTCACGTTCTGTCAAACTCTAGCAGAGATGATGACACATCTGACCCAGGGCAAATGCTTTAGCTCAAATATTTATAATGCGCACACCTAGGGAAGGCATATTAACTCAACTGTTGTGAATGCAGCACGAGTAACTGAAGCAGGGAATAATTATAACATGTGTAAAACTGTAGGATAAACACTTGCAGGGCACTTAATTAGGTACGGCTATTGTCACGCTCATTAATGCATTAATACTTCATTTTCAAGACAACCTGCCAACAATTCAAATTGACTGGTTTAAACGGCACGTTCATATATATAATCTGACAGCCCTTGGCAGCTACTGTTATCCACAGCATTGGCTCACAATACAAAAGACAGTTCACTATTTAGCCAAAGAGCATAACTGTTGACTGAGCTGCCAGAGAAATGTCTGAGCATCATTGATTTCCCCTTTTCAGGTGTGTTTTTTAGTATGTGTGCTCCTTAAATAAAGTGTTGTATAGATAACATTTAT